CACCACCAATGCTGTGGATGTTACAGAGCCAGTTGAGTTTGTTCCACAATGAGCTGGGCTACCCACATTGCTTAGATTTTCTAGGATGCATAGCTGTAGCAGAAACCTTTCCAAAGTCTTCTGGTTTTTGGAATGCAAGACCTAAGCAGGCATGCTTAGCTGAGCTGTGTGTTGAGCCCTTATGGCGGAAGTTCTGCAGGAGGTTACAGCTTTGGTGCCAGATTGTGTGATCTTAGTGCTGAGCTCACTTTGTAGTTGTTTCAGTTCAGTCTTTGTGTCTTTTCCATCACTTCAGTGTTGCTCTGCAAGTGTATTGGTTGGACTTTTAAAGTACACTACAGCCAAATGAAAAGCTCCTTCTAATAGGTAGGGCCATCAAAACCTGCTTTGGGGGATTTGCTCCTCTCTTCTGCCCTTCTTTTTCTTTCCCTTGTTTTTCTTTCCCTTATTTTGTATGATAGTGGTTCTGTGCCCAGGTTACAAAGGGCTAACAGCAGCTTGAAGCAGTCACATAAAAGAAGGGAAAATAACGGAGCAGCAAAAGGTAAGAAGGGAATAAGTTATTTCTCAATTCCTCTGTGTCCTTGTTACAGGACTTAGAGCTGTCTCAGTTGCCCTGACCTCTCTGAGCAACCCTCTGTGTAGTGTTTAAATGATAAAAAAAGAAGGACTGAGAAAGAATTTAAGTGTTAGGAGAGAAAAGGATTTCTGGCCCACGACTGAGATGTCAAGGCTTATCATAACTTATACAATAACACCACCGAGTAATTACAGCTTTTGGTGACTTCAAAGCATTCTGCAAGTGTGTATTTATTCTTCATGACATCTCAAAGCATATCGAGGAGAGGACAGTTGTCAGGAGTAGCAGCATGGATTCACCAAGCGGAAGTCATGTTTGACCAATCTGATAGCCTTCTGTGGTGGCATAATTAGATGAGTAGATAAGGAGAGGGCAGTTGACATGGTCTACCTCGACCTTAGCAAGGCTTTTGACTCTGTCTCCCATGGCATCTTTACAACCAAACTCGAGAAGTGTGAACTGGACAATCAGGTAGTGGGATGGATTGGGAACTGGCTGAAGGACAGAGCTCAGAGATTTGTGGTCAGTGGGGCAGAGCCCAGCTGGAGGCCTGTGACTAGTGGTGTCCCGAGGGGTCAGTACCAGGTCCAGTCCTGTTCAATATATTGATTGACAGCCTGGATGAAGGGACAGAGCATACCTTTAGCAAATTTGCTGACGATACAAAACCAGGTGGCTTGGCCAACACTTTTGAGGGCTGTGCTGCCATCCATTGTGATCTTGATGGAGAGCTGGATGGGGAGAAACCTATTGAAGTTCAACAAGGGCAAGTGTAGAGTACTCCACATGGGGGAAAAACAACCCCATGTGCCAGTACAAGTTGGGGGCTGACCTGCTGGAAGGCAGCTCTGGGGAAAAAGATCTGGGAGTGGACAGCAGGTTGACCATGAGCCAACAATGTGCCCTGGCAGCCAAGAGGGCCAATGCCATCCTGGGGTGCATTAACAAGAGTGTGGCCAGCAGGTCGAGGGAGGTTTTCCCCCCCCTCTCTTCTGCCCTGGTGAGGCCTCATCTGGAGTACTGTGTGCTGTTCTGGGCTCCCCAGGTCAAGAAGGACATGGAACTACTGGGCCACTGAGATGGTGAAGGGACTGGAGCATCTACTGTATGAGTGGAAAGGCTGAGGGAGCTGAGTCTGTTTACCTTAGGGAAGTGGAGGCTGAGGGGGGATCTCATTAATGCTTATCAATATATAAAGGGCAGGTGTCAGGAGGATGGGGCCAGACTCTTCTTAGTGGTATCCAGTGACAGAAAAAGGGACCATGTTCACAAACTGGTACACAGGAGGTTTAACCTGAGTAGGAGAAAATACTTCTTTAGTCTGAGGGTAACTGAGTACTGGAATAAGCTGCCCAAGGAGGCTGTGCAGTCTCTACCCCTGGAGAGATTCAAAACCTACCTGGATGTGTTCCTGAGTAATCTGCTCTAGGGGATCCTGCTCTAGCAGGGGTGTTGGACTAGATGATCTCGAGGTCCTTCGAACCCCTAACATTCTGTGATTCTTTGTGTTCTTCAAAGGTATATTTATGGACTGGAGAACTACTCTAATTTATACTAAATCTATTAGACAACCAGCTGAAGAGGTAGAATTTGGGATTTGAGAGTAGTTTTTAGAGAGGGAAAATGCAGGGATAGAAAACATTTGGCACATCTATCTTTACAGAGCTCCAAAAGTTAAATTATTTCACTTCTTCCTGCAAAGTGAATTGTTCTGGAACATTATGCCAGCTCTACCTAGAAATCTCTCACAAGGTCTGAACATTTGTTCTGAAATAATTACTGTCTGAAGTGTAATTTTGATTGCTAGTAATTCAGGTGCCTAAATGCTTATGTCACAGTCATAAAAGTTTTAGGCCATTGATCATAGAACCATAGAATGGTTTGCATTGGAAGGGACATTAAAGATCACCTAGATCCAACCCACCTGCATTGCAGGCACATAGCCCGTTAGATCAAGTTGCTCAGAGCCCCATCCAACCTGGCCTTGAACACTTGCAGGGAGGTGGCATCCACAGCTTCTCTGGGCAACCTGTTCCAGTGTCTCACCACCCTCATAGTAAAGAATTTTCTTCTAATCTGTATCTCCCCTTTTGAAGTTTTAATCCATTACCCCTTGCAATATTGCTGCAAGCACTTGTAAAAAGCCCCTGCCCAGCTTTCCTGTAGCCCCTTCATGTACTGGAAGGCTGCAGGTGCACATTGCTGGCTCATGTTGAACTTCTCACCCACCATCACCAAGTTCTGTTCCTCATGGCAGTTACTGCTTCTTTCTCTGCCCAACCTGTATTTGTGCTTGGGATTGCCCTGACCCACATGCAGAACCTTGCACTTGGCCTTGTTGAACTTTGCAGGATCTTTGTCCCCAGTAGGACAATCTTTTAATACTGGTTAATTTGAGTGGCTTTCCTTTACCTTTCCCTGTGATCCTAGTGTACAAGGAGCACATGGTTTTGTGTTCAGTGTTGTACAAATAGTACCATAGATACAAGTAGTTGACCCTTTGTTTCTTGTGTTTCACCCTGTACATTCACTTGGATATATGTGAAGCTGAGAGTACCCAAAATAACAGTGTTGGATGTAATGCTGAATGCAAAATGAGGATCAGTAGAGTAAGAGAAGACAGAGCAAAATTTTGAAAACTGTAAAAAAGAGTTGTAGTTATCTGGTGTTCACTAAAAGGTTTGGATCCTATTTGAGGGTATTACTAGTCTCTGAGATTTTTTTTGTAATTTTATTTTTCCCAGATAAATTCTGCAGAATTCTTTTCAAAGATGAGACTGATGGGGCAACTTATTTTTGAGGCTTACACTGGGCTGGGAAAAGTGAATTTGAAAGCTATGGAGACTGTCTGTGCCTAGACTATGTAAAATTCACCTACATTTGATTTTTTTAATAAGACTGAAAATCAGTGCAGGCTGGGGGAGAGACTGAAGTGAAAAGATTCACAAGCTCCCCTGGCAAAGTCTGGACAGATGCTTTTGCATCAGAACTGCATGAGTTTTCAAAGTTTTCAAGTTTTAACATAAGCGCTATATATATTAAGTTTTCAGACGATGTTTCATGACATATAGATGGCATTTGTCCACCTATTCTGAGAAAAATATTTTCTAAAGCCAAACTCCAGACACATGCTGAGCTTTTAACCTGCAAGCAGGTACATTTCAGCACTACCAGAGCCTTTGTTAAACCAGATTAATCATGGGGCAAATCTTACCTGAGAACTTGACTATAAGAAAGGGAGATGTATGGAATTTTTTTG